AGCCCGCGGCGACCCCCGCAGAGGAGGGGCGAACAGAAGGAGCGGAGGCCCCCACGCTGCCCGTCGAGGGGACTGGAGGACCAGGGGTGACCCCGAGGAAGGGGGGATCCAGGAGGAATGCCTGGGGTAACCAATCGTATGCCGAACTGATCAGCCAGGCCATTGAGAGCACCCCGGACAAGAGGCTGACCCTGTCACAGATCTATGAGTGGATGGTCAAGACCATCCCCTACTTCAAGGACAAGGGGGACAGCAACAGCTCCGCCGGGTGGAAGGTAACTAGACCACAGAGCTGACACTCCTTACATGACCCTCGCCCCCCCCCACTGCAAGGAATTTCTCTATTCCCCCCTCTCCCAATTTCTCTATCTCCCTCTGATCAATGTTTATAAACAATGTTACTTTGTATCTCTCTATCTCCCTCTGATCAATGTCTATAAACAATGTTACTTTGTATCTCTCTATCTCCCTCTGATCAATGTCTATAAACAATGTTACTTTGTATCTCTCTATCTCCCTCTGATCAATGTCTATAAACAATGTTACTTTGTATCTCTCTATCTCCCTCTGATCAATGTCTATAAACAATGTTACTTTGTATCTCTCTATCTCCCTCTGATCAATGTCTATAAACAATGTTACTTTGTATCTCTCTATCTCCCTCTGATCAATGTCTATAAACAATGTTACTTTGTATCTCTCTATCTCCCTCTGATCAATGTCTATAAACAATGTTACTTTGTATCTCTCTATCTCCCTCTGATCAATGTCTATAAACAATGTTACTTTGTATCTCTCTATCTCCCTCTGATCAATGTCTATAAACAATGTTACTTTGTATCTCTCTATCTCCCTCTGATCAATGTCTATAAACAATGTTACTTTGTATCTCTCTATCTCCCTCTGATCAATGTCTATAAACAATGTTACTTTGTATCTCTCTATCTCCCTCTGATCAATGTCTATAAACAATGTTACTTTGTATCTCTCTATCTCCCTCTGATCAATGTCTATAAACAATGTTACTTTGTATCTCTCTATCTCCCTCTGATCAATGTCTATAAACAATGTTACTTTGTATCTCTCTATCTCCCTCTGATCAATGTCTATAAACAATGTTACTTTGTATCTCTCTATCTCCCTCTGATCAATGTCTATAAACAATGTTACTTTGTATCTCTCTATCTCCCTCTGATCAATGTCTATAAACAATGTTACTTTGTATCTCTCTATCTCCCTCTGATCAATGTCTATAAACAATGTTACTTTGTATCTCTCTATCTCCCTCTGATCAATGTCTATAAACAATGTTACTTTGTATCTCTCTATCTCCCTCTGATCAATGTCTATAAACAATGTTACTTTGTATCTCTCTATCTCCCTCTGATCAATGTCTATAAACAATGTTACTTTGTATCTCTCTATCTCCCTCTGATCAATGTCTATAAACAATGTTACTTTGTATCTCTCTATCTCCCTCTGATCAATGTCTATAAACAATGTTACTTTGTATCTCTCTATCCCCCTCTGATCAATGTTTATAAACAATGTCAGATGGGTTTCTTTTAGCAGCAGCAGCTTTTACAGCTGGGATTTGCTGCAAGTTCAAAATCGGCCCGTGCTGCAGCCTGTCACCTTGTGACTTGCTACAATGTTATAGTCTGATCCCTGGGGGAGGGGAGACTCAGCAAATGTCTCCTCTTGTCTGCAGCAGACTGATCACTGGGGGAGGGGAGACTGGGGAAATGTCTCCTCTTGCCTGCAGCAGTCTAATGACATCATTTCATTTTAGGCAAAGTCACGGACGTCTCCTTCATAATACATTGTACAGCCATTTTGAGAGATGATAGCGCTTCTGTATAATGTGACATGTCAGCAATGTATTTGTAAGGTCCACAGTCCACCCTGATCCTCTGCACAGTGCAGCACACACATTCCTCTGGGATCAGGCAGGAGATGTGCGCAGGTTTCCTGTGTGTCTCTGTTCATACATGTAAAGTGCACACGGTGTGATTTACATGTTATCCCAGAGTTCAGTACAGACGCCGTTTTCACAATCCGAATTTGTCTAAAACATGAAGAATAATCTCCCCAAATAGTCCTCGTGTGGTGTAAACGCAGGGGTGGGGATGCACCGTAACAAAGTTCTACGTAGCAGGCACTTTCAGGTCAAATGAGTAGACCGGGCTGGACAGATCCCAGGAGCCAGGGCGCCGGTGCTCCTTAAAATTTACAGCTGGTGCCAAACATATGAATTTCTCTCTAGTTGTTGTCAGGGAAGCCGGCTCCTGGACTGTCTGTGGTCTCTCTGCAGCCGATCTGTTCCCCAGTAGTGACTTACCATGTCTTGTCCTGCACTGTGTCTCTGTATGGAGGCGGCCATCTTGGTAGAGGAGCAGAGATTTGCTTCCTCGTGTCAGTGCTTTCCACCTGATGACTGGAGGGGTAATGATAGAGGTGGAGGAAGCACAGATCACCAGAATGGATGAAGCGGAGAGATTCTTGAACTTCTACTCTCCTAACGCTGAGCTTTGTGAAGTGACCCCTTCGTATGATAATAATAAAGATGTGTGAACTGTCTGCGTCTGTAGTCTCCCACGGCGGGTTGCAGTCTCCCACGGCGGGTTGCAGTCTCCCACGGCGGGTTGCAGTCTCCCACGGCGGGTTGCAGTCTCCCACGGCGGGTTGCAGTCTCCCAACTTTCCGTTCAGAATTCGATCCGCCACAACTTGTCCCTGCACAGCAAGTTCATAAAGGTGCACAACGAGGCGACGGGGAAGAGCTCCTGGTGGATGCTGAACCCGGAGGGCGGGAAGAGCGGCAAATCACCTCGTCGCAGAGCAGCGTCCATGGACAACAGCAGCAAGCTCGCCAAAGCACGCAACAAAGTGTCGAAGAAAAAAGCGCAAGGTGCTAGCGGAGAACCCCCCGCGGGAAGTCCGAGCTCGCAGTCCTCCAAATGGCCCGGCAGTCCTTCGCACAGCATAGATGATCCCGACGTATGGACTAGTTTCCGGTCCCGCACGGGTTCCAATGCCAGCAACCTGAGCCTGCGGCTGTCCCCCATACTGACGGAACAGGATGACGCCGCCGATGACGCCCTCCACACCTCGCTCAGCTTCTCGGACAACGTCCCGCCAACCGTCTCCGAGGAATTGGAACTTATCGACGGCCTAACCATGCTGTGCCCCTCGGGGGCTCCCTTGCCCGGGCCTCAGTCCTTCCCCATGCGCCCGCCTCAGGGTCTGTCCTTCGGGAACTCCCTCTTCAGTCCCATCGACATCTCTCTGGCGCAGAGTTCCGGACGTTTCCCGCGTCCTCAGACCCTGGAAGCTCTTCTGACCTCGGACTCCCCTCCTCCCAGTAACGTGCTGATGAGTCGGGTGGACCCGGTGCTGGCTCAGAGCGGCGGGCAGAATTTACTCCTGCTGGGAGGGCAGAACAAAATCCGGACCCCTGAGCATCCGGCTCTGCCCCCCAATAACCTCCCAATGTCTGTGCCACTCCCTAAGCCAAACTCATTCGGCGCGCCCTCGGAACGTCTTCCCACGGATCTGGACATTGACATGTTCCTTGAGAATCTGGAATGTGACGTGGACTACATCATTAACAACGAGCTCATGGATGAAGGCGGCCTGGACTTCAACTTTGAACCCCCACACCCTGGTACCAACCAGAGCTGGCTGCCCAGTTAAACTCGGG